GTCTGGCCAGTGCCTGTCCGTGCCCAGCCGCACGACAGCGCCTCAGTCGAGCCTCGGCCGTGCCCAGCACGCACCCGAGGGGCACCAGTCGTGCCCGGGCCGTGCCAACAGCCCCTGGCCGTGCCCACCAGCGCCAGTCCGCGCCTAGCCAAGTCCAGCGGCACCAGGGACCGAGCCCGGTCGCACCAGCCGTGCCCAGCACCGTGCCCGGGCACCAGCTGGCCCGGCACGGGACCGAGCCCGGTCTAGCCGAACCCAGCCCGACCGCCCGGCTCAGTCGAGCCGGCGGTCCGGCCAGCCAGCGAACCGACCGGTTCGAGTCAGTTTTGATTCGTGATTTCTGATCCGAGTCCAATTCCAGAAATTTCAGTATTTTTCCAAGCCAGTCCAGTCCAGTTTAATCGCGTAGATAAGTTCGAGCATTTTAGCATATATTAATTATTCTGAGCATGATACTTAGCATTATTTTGCTTAAATATTTATGTAGCCTAAGGAGAGTCGAGCCTCCGACCGCTACTCCAGCATCCGCACTTGCATATCAGATTCCAAGTTTTTCAGGCGGGGGTCATGTACTGGATGTCACATCATAGATAATATCTGTACCATGGCAGAGGTATGTTTGAGACAATTTAGTTCCGGGTTGGGTGGCCGAGGCCTTTATACCCACCTGATGACCGTTGGGAGGGGCGAGGCCCTTTCTACCCCATCGGCGTGTGCACACGAGTGGCTACGGCCGAGGGTCTTTTGACCACAGATCAGAACAGACATCAGAGATCAGTTTACAGTTTCAGCTCTTATATATTTATGTTTCATGATTCATTATTATAGATGATGTTTTGTTCAGTACTGGTCTTTGCGGAGCATAGTGGTTTGCTCACGCCCCCATTATGTTTTTCAGGAGGCGAAGTCGAGCGTGTCGGATGAGCACAGATGTGGCGCAACGTGGTCATGAGAGTCGGACATATTTTACCAGCATTTTTTGTCCTAGATTTATGATCATGTGTAT